CCCATGTGGACACAAGATGGCCATCACTAGTTGGCAGGAAGGGGAGGGCAATTGTGGGCATCAGGCCAGCAAGGGAGGGCAGTTGTGGGGGACCAACCCTGCAGGGAGGGCAGTTGGAGGGGCCCCAGGCTTGCAGGGGAGAGCAGTTAGGGGCAATTGGGTCAGTATGGGAGCAGTTAGGTGTTGGTGAGGCTGGTAGGGGAGTGGTTAGGGGGTGATCAGGCCAGCATGCAGAACTGGTTAGGGGCAATCAGGCAGGCAGGAAGGCGAGCAGTTGGGAGCCAGCAGTCCTGGATTGTGAGAGGGATGTCCAACTGCCCATTTAGGCCCAATCCCAAGCAGTTGGACATCTCTTGAGGGGTCCCAGATTGGAGAGAGTGCAGGCTGGGCTGAGGGAACCCCCCCTTCACCTCTAGTATTCTAATATATATAGTGTGTGTCTATTTAAAATTATGTAAGTATTTAATACATACATTTTCCAGAGAGAAAGACAAGAAGACAGACGAGGAAGGAAGAAAGGAATGAAATAAGGAAAAGAGAGACATAAATGAGGAAAGAAAGAAAATAATCATAGATTGAATCAATCAAGGTTCTTGATTATAAGCAATAAAAGCCTAGTGATTTATTTTTAAGCACCCAATGACTTTATCCAAGGATGATGGATAGTTCACAGAAACACTTAGAAAACTGGAAAACCTGCTTGGGCACAGGTGAGAGCAGGGAAACATCAGCCAGACTAGAGCCAAAATCCCACCCACCATCTGCACGGTGGACCCTGCAGCCACAGACCTGGAGGCAAAGCCTTGTACTGTCGCTGGTGCTGCTGTCGCTGCTGTGCCTGGGATCCAGCCATTCCTGCTGCTGCTGCTACACTGCTGCCAGAATTAATTCTCCTCTGTCCCTCCTTCCTCCTGTCACTAGCTCCCTGTACAAAGGCCAGGACAGACGCGTCTGATTAATCATGTGCCCGTGAGCTAGATGGAAGGAAGGGTGAAGGAGCAGGATCAGGTGTTTTGAGCTTCTCTGTGGAACCTTCATGGTGAGGACATTCCTGAGATATTTAAAAGAAGTTTAAATGCTGGGAAGCTCCTCCAAGCCTAACTCTATGGTTCCTAACATCAAGGCACACCCGTCTTCATCGTTACACTTTGAAAAAAAAATGCCGACACTTTAGAGTTCTAAAATCTGTACCCAGAATGGTTTATTAAGTACGGTAAGACAAGCAGACAGCAGAACGATTGCCATGAAAAAATTGTTGTCATAGGTCCCTAGAAACAGGAGTCATGGTACACGATACAGGGTCGCACGGGGAAGCACCAGGGCCAACCAAGGGCAGGAAGGGCAAAGGAGAAAGCATGGCCCAGAGTGTTTATCAGAGTTTCTGCAGAAAAGACACGGAGAAGGACAGGGTAAGCCATTTAGGAGTGGATGGTTTGAATAACGTTGGCAAGCTGTGCGCATTAAGATGATCTCTCATTGTCCGCTACCTGGTTTTGGGGTGATTTAGAGCAGAGCAAACATTGGTTTGTTGTGTGAAAGGGAGACAAAGGAGGTGGTTGAGGGTTTCGATCAGGATTGGTTGGAGGGTTTGTAATGTAATTTTTGTACGCCCATAAAAGCTGCATCACAGGGGAGACATAAACAACCCTGGTTATTTGCTTGGCTCTGTGAGGAATTGATGTCAAACAGGCAAATAGAGTCTAAGGAAACGCAGTTAGAACACCAGCACAAGGCAGCCATACCTCACAGAAATAAAAGCTCATCCTAACCCAAAAGCCTCATCAGTGACTCCATCCAGCTTCATTCTAGCCTTTCTGGGCAATGCCCATTCTTTTTTTTCTTTTTTTTTTATATATATATTTTATTGATTTTTTACAGAGAGGAAGGGAGAGAGAGAGCTAGAAACATCGATGAGAGAGAAACATCGACCAGCTGCCTCTTGCACACCCCCTACTGGGGATGTGCCCGCAACCAATGTACATGTCCTTGACCGGAATCGAACCCGGGACCTTTCAGTCCGCAGACCGACGCTCTACCACTGAGCCAAACCGGCTTTGGCTGGGCAATGCCCATTCTTGCTCCACTCCTGGCACATTGTCACCTTGAAACTGTGTTTCCCATGGAGTAAACTTTGAAGTTTATCAAAAGCACGCTGCCTATAAAGGAATGGGGAGGGCAGAAAAATAACACAAATTAACAAAGTAAAGAAAGAAACAGAGGCAGACACAGCTCTCATTGTTGTAAAAGATCATTAAGTTAGAGTTAGTCTTTTTTAAAAAAAATATATTTTATTGATCTTTTACAGAGAGGATGGGAGAGGGACAGAGAGTTAGAAACATCGATGAGAGAGACATCAATCAGCTGCCTTCTGCACACCCGCTATGGAGATGTGCCCACAACCAATGTACTTGCCCTTGACCGGAATCGAACCTGGGAATCAGACTGACGCTCTATCCACTGAGCCAAACCGGTTTCGGCTAGAGTTAGTCTTTATAGCTTCTCCCTCCACAAATTCTCCATAAGTAGAGTCTATTCTACAAAAGACAAGCCGTTGCCCCCTCTATCATGGAAGGGGTTCAATGTAATCAGCTTGCCACCAGAGGAATAAGTTGAGCCCCAGGCCTCAGGGGCCTTCTTTGGAGCTCAGGGTTTGTCACTGCTGCTGGGGAAGGTGGGCATTTTGGCGGTGGCAGCAATGGGGATCACATGGGGATCAGCATCTGTCAATGGAGGCACTGACTTGCGTTTACAACAATCCACTGACATCTACAAAGACCCTTCCACCTTAGGTCAAGTGGTGGTAACCAACATTGCCATCCCCGCCGCATTCTTTTGGTCTATGATGGTGTTCCTAACCCTTGTGACTCCCCCAAAGACATGGTATTGATTTTATTTATTATCTTATCCCAAGACTGATGAAGATGTATCACGTACTGAAAAGTTTCCTTAACTCAAATCTCAGTCCAAACCACTTCCCACACTCCCTCCCCTCCCCACCTCCGGTAAATAATCAAGATGATAGTCTTCCCACACTGCTGTGTTTTCCAAGGCCTTGGAGAAGGGAGTGTCTCATGAGTTTTCTCAGATGAGGAGGAAAGTACCAGGTCATACACTTAAAGCACCATTATTTCCCCAACTCTTCCATTTTTGCTGTGCTCATTGTCACTTCACACAGACTACAAATGGAACAGACTGTTAGTTACCACCCTGTGATGATTCATTTTACATGCCAACTTGACTGGTCTTAAGGATGCCCAGATAGCTGGAGGTAAAAACATACACACACATTCTTTCTAAGTTTGTCTGTGGAAGTGTCTATCATTTGAATCAGTAGACCCTGTAAAGAAGAACTTTTATGACAAGAGGTGGGTACTATCCAATTTGGGGGAGAGGGGAGGCTGAATAGAGCAAAATGGTGCAGGAAGGATGAATTCACTCCTTCTGCTTGGGTTGGGACCCCCATTTTCTCTCTGTTTGGACACCAGTGCTCCTGCTTTTCAGGCTTTTGGTCACAAGGCCAAGGCTTACAGCGTTGGCTCCCACCCCAAATTCTCATGCCTTTCCTGGTTCTACTGTCCTTCCTGGCTCCCCAGCTTGCAGATAGCAGATCATGGTACTTCTCAATTTCCATAACCATGTGAGCCAATTCCTAGAATAAACCTCATCATATGTATCTATCTCCTGGAGAATCCTGACTAATACAACCTCCCCCCGCACCACCAACTGTTCAGACGTGTGGACTAAACCAAAATCTCTCAAAACCACATCCCCATCAGTCACCAGATCTCATTTCAACTTTCTGTCCTCGGTCCATCCCTTAAGAATCCACTCCCATGCATGTTTACCAGATCGTGGACATAAATGAGCAGTTTGGGGTGTGTTTGTGTCTCCTCCCAAGTTTGTCCCTAGAACCTGTTTTCTGAGACATATGGGGACCTGACCCTGCAAGGAGGGGTAGTTAGGATGGGAAATGAAGGAAAGTTGCCTTACCTGGTATGTGATAAATCCTTCAGGTGAGGGTGTTTGTAGTAGGGAAAAGTGAGGTCTTAAGGGCAGATCCCTCCTGATGGAATTAGTGTCCTTACAAGAAGAGTCCCCAGAGAACTTGCTGACTTGCCTGTTGGTTCCCAAAGAGGTCATATGAGCCCATGGTGAAATGGTGGCCACATACATACATGAGAAGAGAAGAGACCTCAGAATGAAACCTTCCTGGCCAGCACCTTGATCTTGGACTTCCCAGACTCCAGAACTGTGAGAAATAAATGTCGTAAATGTAATAAATAAATGGCCCATCTCCAAATATCAGCCCAACTGAGATTAGGACTTCAACATAGAAGGAGGGGAGGAGCGGGGGGAGAGACACATTCAGTCCATTATAGAAGAGATAACTGGTGATAGGGGAGAAGGGATTGTCCCTGTGCCTACAAGGGTTGTCTCGCGCTGGCTTGCGCTCTCTCTCTCTCTCTCTCTCTCTCTTAAAGGGTCTGCGAGTTACTGTGGGAGTGCGGGGGTATTCTTGACTTTAATTTTAGGCGACAGGTGTTTCATCCAGAAATGCAAATCTAGCCCCGACTCCGGGTGCCTGTAAGCTATGGAAACAGTCCATGAGGGCGTGGTACGTCCCAGGAATCCTGGGACACCGGTTCCAGGAGCGAGTCCGGAGCAATGGGACGGCAGGGCAAGGGTCTGACCAATCCCAGGGCAGGGGCGGGGCGGGGCGGAGACTGGCACCTGGGCGGGGCTGGGGCGGGGGCGGGGCGCAGGATGAGAGGGTCTGGCCAATCCCAGGGCAGGGGCGGGGCGGAGACTGGCAACTGGGCGGGGCTGGGGCGGGGGCGGGGCGCAGGATGAGAGGGTCTGACCAATCCCAGGGCAGGGGCGGGCTGGCGCGGGGGACTAGGCGGGGCTGGATCTGGGAGTGACCCGCGGTCTGCAGGGCCAGACTTGAAGCCTCGCAGGGCTCAGTGTCCCAGGCGGGGTGGCTGAGGCTCAGGCCAGTCATGGCGCCGCGTGCGGTCGTGTTCGACTTGGACGGGGTCCTGGTGCTGCCATCGGTCGCGAGCGCCCTTGGCCGCGCCGAGGAGGAGTTGGCATTGCCCAGGTAAGGGCACCCGGTCAGCGCCCCGTGAGTGAGCGCCGTAGGGGCGGGATTCCGGCCTAGAAGTTGCCTTTCGGGATTTCCAGCCCTCAGTTCAGATCGCTGTAGTGTGAGAGCCCCGCGAAAGGAAGTTAAGACATTTGCCAGACTCTAAACCAGTGTGTGTAAGTAGAGACCAGTGTGTCTTTCCAAATGCTAAGTCATTAACCCTCTCCCAGGACTCCAGAATTGCCCTCTATCTATGGGGAGAAATCTTTTCCTGAAATGAGAGGAATTACTAGTATTCCCAGAGCTGCCTGCTGCCCGCCTGATCCTGTGAACTGGATCTTAGAAACTGCAACAACAACCACCACAACAACAAAACAAACAAACAACAAAAAACCGCCCTGAGATTTCCAAGAGAAAAAGGTTCCGTGCCTTGCAGTTTTGCTTATAATAGCAAACTAGAGAAACAGCTTCAAAGTCTAATCATTGGGAAATGGCAAACTAGTAAGTGGCACCACTAACCCTGTCTTTCAGAATAATATTTCAGTGGCATTGGACAATATATGTTAGGTTTAATAAGTGAAAAGAACAGACCCATCAAAATGTCTATACAATGTGGTTTCAACTATGGGGAAAAAAGCTACATGTAGAAAAATGTCTGAAATATCCCCAAATAGCTCTGGGATTATGAATCCCAAGTGAAATTATGAATGATTTCCTCATTTTCCTACTTTTTTTTTTTTTTCCCAGTTTTCCTATGTATGAACATATGTTACTCTCTCATCATTGATATTTCCCCCTCTCTTCCTCTCTGAAAATCAATAAAAATACATATTTCTAAAAAGTGGTTAAAATGGCCCTAACCAGTTTGGCTCAGTGCCTGCAGACTGAAGGGTCCCAGGTTCGATTCCTGTCAGAGACATGTACTTTGGTTGCAGGCACATCCCCAGTAGGGGGTGTGCAGGAGGCAGCTGATTGATGTTTCTCTCTCATTGTTATTTCTAACTCTCTATCCCTCTCCATTCCTTCCCCTCTGTAAAAAAATCAATAATATATATATATATATATATATATATATATATATATATATTTTAAAGTGGTTAAAATGGCCGAAACCGGTTTGGCTCAGTGGAGAGAGCGTTGGCTTGCGGACTCAAGGGTCCCGGGTTCCATTCCGATCAAGGGCATGTACCTTGGTTGTGGACACATCCCCAGTAGGGGGTGTGCAAGAGGCCGCTGATCAATGATTCTCTTTCATCGATGTTTCTAACTCTCTATCCCTCTCTCTTCCTCTCTGTAAAAAACCAATAAAATATATATTTTTTAAAAAGTGGTTAAAATGGTCAGTTTTATGTTATGTATGTTTTACTACAACAAAACATGATTGCTAAATTTCCAATTTTATTGAAAACTAAAGTCAGTATTTTATTTATAACTATTTTGATGAGGAATTTTAAGATGTATCTCTCTTAGCAACTTTTAACCATACTGTTCATTACATCTACATTGTGGTGGGCAGTAAGACAGACATGAGCAGAGCAAGGACAACAGACCATGTACAGAAGGTCTCCAGGGTGGAAAGCCCCAGGTGCCTACCAATGGGAAAACTGGGAAAATAAGGACTTTGCCCTCAGAGTAACCTTTCCTCCCCTAGCATATCCCTGGTCATGAGGGTTCGATCCCCTGACCTTTCATATTGCTGGTCATGAATGAACCGGGGGGCCAGAGAATAGCCCTTAAGCATTAAGACCCCAGGACATTGAGGTTCTGACCCTTAGTAAATACATTTAAGCGTCAGGTGTATTTCAGCTCCAGGCCCATCATCCTCACTCTGCTCATGGCTGTCTAACTGCCTACCACAGATATAAATGGTGTCTGTCCCCATTTGCCCCTGTGATGAAGCTGTCAGACATTTATGACATTGTGTCTTTCAGAGGCTTTCTCAATGAAATTTTCAAGAAAGGAGACCAGGATAGTTCCAGTTTTCGTCTCATGAGGGGAGAGATCATGTTTTCCCAGGTAAGGGACACCCTTGAGAAGGCATTCAGTGCCTTCATGTCCATCTCCTGCACCGACGATGGTCCTATGAGGGCAGAGCAGAGAGACATAGACATACCTCAATGACTGAGGTCTATGCCAGGGAGTTACAATAGCCAAAATAGCTTTTTTTTTTTTTTTAATTGTGGTAAAATATACATACCATAAAATCTACCAACTTGATTATATTTAAATCTACAATTCAGTGGTATTAGTATATTCACATTGCATACCATCCGTCTCTAGAATTCTTTGTCTTGCAAAATTGAAATTCTATACCCGTTAAACAATAGCTTTCTTTTTATCTTTCCTCAGCCTTTAACTGCTGTTGAACTTTCTCTTTTTATATATTTAGGTACTTCAGGTGCCTTATGTTTGTGGAATTATGCAATATTTGTCTTTGTGTAACTGGTTTATTTCATTTAGCATAATGTCTTCAAGGTTCATCTGTCCTCACAAGACACCTGTCCTTCCTAATAGGAATGGAATTATCCTACCTAATAAAAGAGTAATATGCAAATCGACCGCACCTTCACTATGCCCAAGCTACATTCACCAGCCAATCAGGTATGCAAATTAACCCAATCAAGATGGCAGTTAATTTGCATATCAAGACGGTGTAGAAAGAAGCCAAGCACTGCAGAAGGGAGTGAAGCTGTAGAGAAGCAAGCAAGCGGGGTAGGGGAGAAGGAAGAGAAGCAGGCAGGGTGGGGAGAGGGAAGAGAAGCAGGCGGGGCAGGGGAGAGCACAGCAGGAAGCCCTATTGCAGGAATCTTCCTGCAACAGGCTACTAGTCTACAATAATAAAAGAGAAATATGCAAATTGACCATACGTCCTCGATGCCTACCAGTTAATCAGGAATGAGTATGCAAATTAACCTAACAAAGGTGGTGGGTTAATTTGCATATGCAGGCTTGTTGCAGCTGGGGACAGGGTAGCTGCTTGCACACGTGCCGGTACCAAGCGGCCTGCAGCCTGGGGACAGGCATCCTTGGGACCCAGGCCGTTCTGAGCCTGTAGCTCCGTGTGTAGCCCCGGAGCAGCCGACGTCCCAGAATGACCCCTGGTCACTCTGGTTCTACACACACAGGTGTGGAGTAGCTGGGGGCAAGGGGTAACATCCATGTCATGACAATGTGGTGGATATCCCTGCCCCACAGCTGCTTACACGCAGAATCACCATGCTGTTTTCCATAACTGATACACCATTTAACATTCCCCCCAACAGTGCACAAAGCTTCCAATTTTTTCATGTCTTTGCCAACCCACATTATTTTCTGTTTATTTTTTTTATAGTGATCATCATTGGAGTAGCTATTGCCACTGGGGAGGGGTGTTAACTAATAACTATATAATGTGTGGACTGTGGGGATCAGAGATCAGGATTTCCCCCTTATAGATTGAGCGACCTCAGCAACTTGCTTAACCTCTCACAGTCTCAGTTTTGCCATCTATAAGATGAGAGTGATAATACTATCAATTTCACAGGTTGTTATTAAGTTTGAAAAGTGCTTAGCAGAGTGCCTGGTGTAGAGTAAGTGCTCAAAAAATAATAGTAATTACTGTTATTACAACCTCAATTATTTTTTAACAGTGTCATCAGGATTGAAAACCATTTGAATTCTCTATTAGTGCGTCAAAGAAGAAAGGCTATTGAGAATCTACTCTATAAATACAGATAAAACCATCTATATTTTAAAAAAATTTTATGACTTACAGGCACTTATAGGTCAGCCAGAGAATTTTGCGCTTACTGTATAGGAAGCAAGAGCCTACTTTTTTTGTGAAGGCAAATGTGGTCTTAGTGTTTGGAGTATAATGAATTGCCCTTTAAAACTCTCTCTCTCTCTCTCTTGCTCTCTCTCTCTCTCTCTCTTGCTCTCTCTCTCTCTCTCTCTCTCTCTCTCTCTCTCTCACACACACACACACACAAACACACAAACATTGTGGCAACTAGTGAATGAAAACTGGAATGATATTGGGAATAAGTATTACTAAGCTTGAACCAATTAAAAAGCTACAGTAATACTGTTGGAAAGTAAGGAAAGAAAGAAGTACTATATATTTTCAATAAACATAGAAATTATAGAGAGAGTTTCTAGTAATTGCAGTGAAAATTCTATACCCATTTAGTCTTTTTTTTTTAGCCTGTGTATAGTTCTAGGAAACATGTATAAGTTAGAGGAAAAGAGCTGAAAAGCCAGTTATACTAAGATAAAGGCTACTTAGATTCCATTTGTCTTTTAAAAAATCATTAGAAGCTCAGTGCACAGATTCATGCAGTGGAAGGGGGGTTCCCTCAGCCTGGCCTGCACCCTTTTGCAATCCAAGACCCTCAGGGGATGTCCAACTGCCGGTTTAGGCCGGATCCCCACAAGCCAGGCCTAAACTAACAGTCAGACATCCCCCGCGGGTTGTAGCAGTGCACCAAGCAGTGCAGGCGGCCAGGGAGGAGCCCAAGCCAGCACTAGGCCCCTTGCACTTATCCTGACCCGCTGTGCCTGCTGCTGGCCACTGGGCAATGGCCACAGCTGCGCTGGCCAGCCATGAGCATGGCTTCTGGCTGAGCAGCACTCCCCCTATGGGAGTGCACTGACCACAAGGGGACAGCTCCTGCATTGAGCGTCTGCCCCCTGGTGGCCATTGTGTATCATAGCAACTGATCAACTGGTTGTTCCAGTCATTCAGTCGTAACAGTCACATAGGCTTTTATAGATAGATAGATAGATAGATAGATAGATAGATAGATAGATAGATAGATACCTTAGGAATGAATTCATCTTTTAACGTTTATGTATATTGTACAAATAAAAAGTACAGAAAATATATGGCATGATGAGTTTTCACAAACTGAATATACCCTTGTCACCAGCACCCAGAAAAGAAATAAAACATTAACCTCAGGCTGGTGTGGCTCAGTTGGCTGAGTGCTGTCCCAAGCAATGAGAAGTCAATGGTTCAATTCCTGGTCAGGGCACATTCCTGGGTTTCGGGCTTGATCCCCAGTAGGTGACATTGCAAGAGGCAGCCAATCAATGTTTTTTCTCTCTCTCACCAATGTTTCTCTCTTCCTCTCTCTCTAGAATCAATAAAAATGATTAAAAAGAAATAAAACATTATCAGCCCCTTCTTCACACTTGCCCTCTAAGACTGCCTTATAGATTACTTCTGCTTATTTTGTACTTTGTGTAAATGGGATCATGTAGGCACACTCCTTGGCATGTAGATGGCCATCTGCACCCTGTGTCCTCACAGCCCTTCCTCTGTGTGTGTCTGTTTTCTAATCTGTTTTAATAAGGACACCAGTCATACTGGATTAGAGCCAAACTATGACCTTATTTTACCCTGATCACCTCTTTAAAGACCCTATTTCCAAGGACAGTCACATTCTGAGGTCCTGGGATTACAACTTCAACAAGAATTTAAAGGGGGCAGGGCACAATTCAGCTCATAGAGGGGCATTTGAGTATTTTCCAGTGGGGCTCTTAGGAATAATGCTGCCATGAACATTTTGTACATGTTTTAAGTGAATATATGTAGTCATTTCCATTTCCTATAATGTATGTGCACAGGAGTGAAGTTGCTGAATCACAAGGAATGCACATTCAGATTTAGTAAATGCTGCCAAAAGCTTTTCCAATCATTGTATCAACTGACAGTTCCTGGACAATTTACTTTTACAGTGGGTGTCACTTGTGGAAGAAGACTATAGGAAACACGCTGAGGATTCTGGAGTCAGCCTCCCAGAGAATTTCTCTGTCAGTCACATCTTTGGCCAGGCCATTTCAGCAAGGAAGGTCAACCACTCCATGCTTCAGGCAGTTCTCGCTCTCAAAAAAAAGGGTAAGGATCCAATACTGCCAATTTTCTGACCCAACCACACCAGAACCCCTGGTAGGGATACATCTAAATGTGTTTTGAGGTCACAAATTGTCTGGGCCTTGATGGAAAACTGCTTTTAAATCATAGTCCCAAAGTAAGTTATATCATATGGCAAAAAGCAGCACTATCAGAATGGCTGGGGAAATGAAAGAATTGAGATACACACTGCCATCTCCGTTTACTACATTTCTCTCGTTTTGAAATGGGAATGCAGACTCTGAAAGCCAAAGCAGGTGTTTTGAAATGCAGTAACACAGAGTGGAAGGTGATGGGAAGGGCAGTCCGGAGGCAGATGCAGTATCTCCATCTGAGCCCCTGAAAGCTCTTAATATACACGGTGGGCTCACTCTTGTGTCCCTGTGTCAGGAGGTGCTTAAGGGTGACGATGATTCTTTCCCAGCATCAGGTGATTGATGTACGTGAGTAGAACCCTACGTGGCTCCAGGCAGAGCTTCTCGGGGCAAAGTTCTGTAGTGGGTCGGTTCACTGGTGATTTCTTGCTCAGGGTTTACAACCTGCATCCTCACCAACAACTGGCTGGATGACAGTACCCAGAGGAGCAGCCTGGCCCAGCTGATGTGTGACCTGAGGCCGCACTTTGACTTCCTGATAGAGTCATGTCGGATTGGAATGGCCAAGCCTGATCCTCAGATCTACAAGTTTATGTTGGACACCTTGAAGGCCAGCCCCAGTGAGGTACATGGTAGATGCTTCCTTTCAGTTACTGGGAAAGAATGCTCTAGAGATATAAAAAACACACACACACACATACACACACACACACCCCAAAAACAAACAAACAAAAAACTGAAGAGGAGTGAGCAGGTTGGGGATATTTGGGGCCTGGCAGGAAGGTTCTAGGTCCAGTGGCAGGTTTTACTTCTAAAGGACTTTTACTCATCTCTTCTAGAAAGTTCTACCAAAAATAGGCATCTGACCCTCTTTGTGGCTTTTATAGGACCTTGATCAAAATAGGTATTATTGAAAACTTCTAGACCAGCTGCCTTAGTTTACCTATAAAAAAACAGGTCTCAACCCTGAGAGATTTTTCCAAGGCCACAAGGCCAGTCAGGGTCACCCCACCAAAGGGTGAACAGGAATGGGCTCCGATATTGCCATAGTCTTCTAAGCACCCCTGTACCCCTAATTCCTGTCTTCATCCTGTCTCTAGATGACCTATTCTAAAACACTTTTTGCATTATATTCCCCTATTCTAATCTAAAAAAGGTGATTGGGCCAAGATTAAATTTATTTCCCTGACATTTCTGACTCTTTCTTATTGGCCCCACCTCAACCACATCTGATCTGATGAAACCCTGAGCTCTATCATTGGGAATCCTTATCAGGCTCAATGAAAATCAGGAAGGCATTTCTCTAAAACTTAGCTTCTGCTCTCCTAAGTCCCCAGGTTAAGCATTATAACAATGCTCTAAATTTTTCTATGCATATATACTGAGTGGCCAGATTATAATGATCTCTGAATGCATAATAAAAGGCTAATATGCAAATTGTCACCTTGACCAGGAGTTCGACCAGCAGACAGGCAGGCCAACCGCCCATGTCCCCTCCCCTGACCAAGCTGGCTGGACCCCATCCATGCACAAATTTATGTAATGGGCCTCTAATATATATATATATATATATACACACACACTCAGTGGCCAGATTATTATGCATTCAGAGATCATAATAATTTGGCCAATCAGTGTAGATAGTCAATATGTATTTATTTCGGTGTTGTCACTCATGCATGAAGTTTGCTCTGGTTGAAGTGATGCTAGTGTCCATGTTATTTGGATTCAGGTTGTTTTCTTGGATGACATTGGGGCCAATCTGAAGCCAGCCCGTGATTTAGGAATGGTCACCATCCTCGTCCGTGACAGTGACAAGGCCCTGCAAGAGCTGGAGAAAGTCACCGGGGTGCAGGTAACGGCACGTTTGTGCTGAGTGGGATATCCTGTTCCTTGTCTCTGTTTAGGTACATGAGACAAAACAAGCCAGAGGAGAACCACTTTGGAGGCAGTTCACTGCTCCAGGCATGGTTCCCAGGGACCCATTGTGCAAGCACCATGGGGTTCTTGAAGAACACCTTGTTGCTTTCTCTGCAGTCACTGGACAGAGAATAATGCTCTGAGAGCAAGAATCTGTACTAGTCAGAGTCAGGGGAACCAAGATAAGAGGGGGGCTTTTAAAGCCACCCCATTTTACTCTTTAGAGTAAATATTGAGAATCTAACTGCTAGGACTGCCTCAGTAGACATAGAGAGCCCAGCCCTCACCTTGTGTGCCAGGTGATGCTGCTGGCACTCAGGTATAGTTGTCTGGTTCCTCCTGGTTTACACCCTCACGCCAGTCTGAAGGAAGGCTGTGAGGTAAAATCTGTCCCTCACACTGAGGATGAGATGTCCTTAATCACCTCCTGGGCACTGCCTGGCAATTAACCTGCTCTGTCAAAGCTGAGGAACCTTTTGCTCTTTTGAGCCTCCCTAAGATCACCCATCCCACCAAGTCCAGGAGTAACACAAACAGTAACACAAACCTTTTGCATAATGCTGTGCTTTGCCCAGGGTTGTTAGTGTAATGGAAGAGGAGGGAGGAGGTGGTGCCGCAGGAGAGGAGGATGGTTGGTCAGTCCCTGATGGAGGCCGTGGAAGGTGATCTGTGAGTTTGCTTCTAGGACCAGCACTCTGGAGTTTTGGACACTCACTCTGAGAACCCTCATAAAAGGAAGCTGAAGATATCTCTCTCACTATGTGCCTTCTACTTTCAGCTTCTCAAAACAGAAGTTGCAGCCCCTCTCCCAATCCCATGCAATCCAAGTGACATGAGCCATGGGTATGTGCCAATCAAGGTGAGTGAGCACTTTCCCTCAGTCAGCTGAGTACTCTAACCAGGTCTCCTAAAATGATTATGGAGACATTTGTTCAATATCAAGGGTAGTTGAATAGCCACTGCTTATAGGGAAATCATATCTCCCACAAGCATAATTTCTCAAAAATCAATAGAAGACATGGACCATATGGGGCAGCAGCCATAAATGTGGGCAGTGGGGTGCAGCCGACATGGTAAAATGGGCATCAGAGGATGAGTAGGATTTGAGTGTAAGAAAGTAGTCCTGGAAGCTACGGGTCAGTAGTCAGTGTAGCCCCTCCTATAATCCTGGGTGGCCTAAAGAGGTCCTTCAGACCTCATCTCTATATTGATGAACAGTGAGGGGCTCATTGCCTGGGGCTGGGGCCTGGGCTGTAATCTTGTGTCTTCAACCCCACGGACTGGCTTATTCTTGTCATCCTCTTGATGCATATCCCACCACTTGTGATAGATTCCTCATTTTGCCTTGAAGAGGGGTGTCCAGTGTTTTACTGCCTCTGCCACCACCTAGATTCAAGAGCTGGAGCAATGACCTCTGGGGAGCCCCAGCTGAGCCCAGGCTCGGGGGGTGCTGTTGCATGCTTCTCCCTGGATAATAATACAACCCAAACTGGGTTGTAATAGATCTTTCCCATTTGCCAGCTTTAAGGCAATTTTGTTAACTTGTCATTTAAAGCATGGGAAAGCACTTTTGCTGAGCTACTCAGCTGAGTCAGTTACAAAGCAGCAAAATGGGCCTTTCGTTGGGATCCGTTTAGAACAGAGGTTGATGAGGATCATTCGAGTGGACATCAGCACTATAACATTTTTCAATATAAGGAGTATGGAATTTAAATTCCTTCCCTTTGCCAAGTACTAAAGGGAAGACTGTGGAACATATTCTTTTTTACATTTTTATTTATTGACTAGAGGCCCAGTGCATGAATTCATGCACTGGTGGGGTCCAGCAGGCCCGGCCCGATGGGGGACACTGGGGTGGGGTGCCCGCTCCGCAGCAGGGCCAGCAGGGGTGAGGGGCTGTAGGTGTTCACTCTGTTTCATTCTATTTGCATATTACCCTTTTATTCTATAGGATTTGAGAGAGGGAGAGAGAGAAATATTGATTTGTTGTTCCACTTATTTATACATTCATTGGTTGATTCTTATACATGCCCTGACTACAAACCACAACCTTGGTATATCAGGACAATGCTCTAACTGAGCTACCTGGCTAGGGCAGTGGAACATATTCTGATAAAAAAAAGATTGTAGTTCAGGAATGGGTTTGTGAAAAGCCAGCCTAATATTTTCTTGAGCAAAATAGCTTGTTGGAAATCATGACCCAAACTTCCAGTTTGGAACACTGGCTTGGAGAAATCTGGGATGCAGTTAAACAGAATTGTTCTGAGTGAATTTCTATAATGTGAAGATGATTTTTCTCATTCATTTCCAGTAGTAACTTGGAAATATGTACATTTGAGAAAGATAGACTATATTTTGACTATATTTTGTATTGCTTTGGTTGGTTTTCTTAGGCCCCACTGCACTAGTCAGAGGAGCCTTAGCGCTATCCTGAACAACCCAGCTTTCAGTGGCTGAGCCCCAGCACAGTCTAGTGGGGTGAGGAGTGGGCTCTCTCCACGCAGTCATGCAAGCATCCAAGCTCTTTCTTCTGCTGGTTCCACCTTCCTCAAGGCCCAATCCATTCAAGTTCAGACAGAAACAGAGAGGGAAGACTAAGCACGGGAGGGTCTGGATGTAGCACACATTTCTTTCACTCATGTCATTGGCCAGAACTCAGTCACATGGCCACACCCACTGCAAGGAAGTGGGGGGAGATCTGAAGAGATCTCCGATATTGAACCCTAGCAGCCTCTGCCACACCTATGTAGCCCAGAAAGGACTAGAAGTGTAGTAAACGTGGGGGGGAACTCATATTCAAGATACAAACAGCTTTTTACAAAATAATCCTGGTGTTCTGTATGTTAGCATGAATACTACACTCTGCACAAAACTGATATCCCAGTTTTAAATGTTAAAAACATGACAAACCACACCAGAAACTCTAATTGTATAAAGGTCTTTTAAGGAAGATGCAAAGTTGTTTTGGTTTTGGGTTTTTCTCCCCCAACATTATAATCTTCCTTTCAAGTTTGACTAGTTGCCTCTTTTCAGACAACTTTCAGCATTGGGATCTTAGGCTGAGAAATCTGGTCCATACAAGATCTGGAAATATGCTGAAATAGCCTAGATGGTCTGCAGAAGAGGGGTCTAGTTCTGGCTGGCCTGGTGCTATAGTCACTTCCTGCTCACCTCTCTCTTCCACAGCCCGGGGTGCATCTGCATTTCGTGGAGCAGGGCTCTGGCCCTGCTGTGTGCCTCTGCCATGGATTTCCTGAGAGCTGGTTCTCTTGGAGGTACCAGGTAAGGGAAACTGAGCAAAGGTACACCCCAGTCAGGTGAGGCAAGGAGAAAGCCTAGATGGTGTGCCCAGCCTGAATGTCATTAAGAAGCAAAACCTTACAGTGGAGCATTATTGCCAAAGTATGGCTGTGATATAGCAGAAATGTTGGGGCTGGAGATTGCTCCAGACCTCAGCTGCGTTAGCCCATGTGCTACCTTTGCAGATTAAAAAAGAAAAAGCAGACTTCTTCAAGACACTTTATGCCACCTGCCGGAAGTCTTTGCAATAATTATAGAAATCTGCAAAGCCTTTGCTAGGAAAGGTGCTCCCTTAGATGCGGCATTAGATGCAGTGCACAAACCCTGCCACCAGTGGTCCATGGCAGCCGGACCCAGGTGGGCTCGTTCCAGCTCCATGGAGATACCTGTTCATGTCAGGTGGCACTTTTGATTGAGCCAGAGGTAGCAAAGAAGGAGTGTCAGCCAAACACTTATAAGACTACACTGGTAAGTACTTTAGTTGTTTGTTTTCTAGATCCCAGCTCTAGCCCAGGCGGGTTTCCGGGTACTGGCTGTGGACCTGAAAGGCTATGGAGACTCCTCCGCTCCTCCTGGTGGGTTAGCTGTTGGCCATGCCTTCTGACTGTTCTCGCTCTCCACTGCACTGGCTTCCTCTGGTCCCACGCCAGAGCAGGCAGTCCTTCAAGGGTGCCGACCATGTCCCTCCCCGTCCTGTAGTGTCCTCGGTTGATGCAGTTTGGGTCACAGATGTCTCTGCTCCTCCTACTCTGGATGACTATGAGAAGCCCAATAGCCTGTGTCCTGAGGGTGTCTCCTGCTGGTTGGTGGGGATGTAGAGTGTGGGATGTACCATCCAGCTCCAGAACATTTTCATCCTGCAGAACTGGGACTCTATACCCGTTAAATAATAACTCTTCATTCCTCCTCCCCCAGTCCCTTGCAAGGACCCTTTTGCTTTCTGCCTCTGTGAAGCTGACTACACTAGAGCCCTCATATAAGTGGATCAAACAGTATTTGTCCTTCTGTGAATCGCTTATTTCACTTATGATAATGTCTTCAAGGTTCATTCATGTTGCATACAATTCCAATTTCCTTCTTTTTAAGGCTGAATAATATTCCATTGAATAGATATACCACATTTGTTTATCTGTTCATCCATCAACAGACCCTTGGGTTGCCTCCACCTGTTGACTGTTGTAAATAACGCTGCTTTGAACATGGGTGTGCAAATATCTGTATGAGTCCCTCTTTTCAGTTCTTTGGGTTATAAATCCAGAAGTCAAATTGCTAGATCATATGGCCATATTCTTGACCCAACATCTATGGATCCCAGTGGAAGTCTAACCAAAGGCGGGTATCAGGGAGCCTGTGAATCCCTGAGACCACATGTGGGTTTATGAGCATTTTTCATTGTTTTGGTCAGTTTCAGAGGGGTCGTCAGCCCAGAACTGTTTAAGAACCCTAGGTCTGAAGGCAGGAACCTGAAACAACCAGGTTTGCCGCAAAACTCCTGGTACCTCCAAGTGTCAGCTCTGCTGTTAGCTGTGTTGACTTGGTGAGCCAACCCAGCTGTTCAAAACCCTTTTTTTGAGCTGCTTTTCCCAATTTAAATTTAATTATTCCCCTAGTAATTAAATTTTAATTACTAAAATGTCTAGTCATCTATACTGCAATCTTCCCTGAATCCCCTAGGCATAACTTATAATTTATCATTCAGTCTAGAACATTATTAAAAATAAAAGAAATACACTATTAATAATAGCACATATAAACTGAAACTGGAACTTACATTCACACCTGAATTATAACTCATTTTTTTAAAAAAAATAAAACCATAATTTACACATTAACTATTGTTGAATATTTTTGTATAACATGAATTCTAAAGCCAAGCATAATAACTTAGAATACATACACACCAAGTTCACATCTTTTGTGTATAAGCTTTATATAATTTGTTAATAGGTTTTAAGTAACAAATTATTTTCCCTAAAATTTTGAAGCCTTTGTTCCACTACTTTCTAGTTTCCCTGTTGCTACTGAGAAATCCTATGCCATTCTAACCAATAAGCCTTTCTATGCGACCATTTATTTTTTCTTCCTTACTCTTGATACTTTAGGGTCTTTTCTTTATCTGTTTATTATAAAATATTATGATATTGTGCTTTGATATAGGTGTTGTTGTTGTTTTATATATTTTGCTGGATACATTTATCTTTCAGTTCTTGGAAAATTTTTTGAGTCTTTTCTTTAGTAATTTTTCTTTCTTTTTCTTTTTCCTTTCTGAAATTGCTAATGTTAAAATAGTCATACTACTCAAAACAATCTACTAGTACAGATTCAATGCAATCTCTATAAAAATCCCAATAGCTTTTTTTACAGAAAAAGAAAACACAATTTTGCAATTCATGTGGCTCCACAAAAGACCAATAGTCAAATCAACCAGAGAGAACAAAATGGAGGACTCACACATCCTGAAATATATTAGAAATATATTAAACCTACAGTAGTTAAACCAGGATGGTACTGGCATAAAGACAGATTCACAGATCAATGGAACAGGATCTAGAGCCCAGAAATAAAGCCAGAAATATGGTCAACTGCTCTTCAACAAGAGTGCCAACAACACACAATAGGGAGAGGATAGTCTCCTCAATAATAGTGTTGGGAAAATGAAATATTCACATACAAAAGAATGAAATTGGACCCTTATATTACACCTTACCTTACAAAAAAAAAATCAACTCTCCTGGCCAGTGTTGCTCACAGTTCGATTTCTCAGGGCACATCCCAGGGTGGAGCGTGCAGGAGGCAGCCAATCCACTATTCTCTCTCATCATTGATGTTTCTATCTCTCTCTTTCTTCCTTCCCCTCTGAAATCAATAAAAAAATATATTTTTAAAAAATCAACTAAAAGTGGAATAAAATTTAAATGTAAGACTTGAAACTAAAACTACTAGAAGAAAAACATAGGGAAAAAGCTTCATGACATTGGTCTTGGTAATGATTTCATGAATGTAACACCAAAACAATGATTTCATGGATGTGGCGAAAACAAAAGCAAGCAAATAGACTGTTTTGATCTAAGAATTTAATAAGATTTATTTATTTATTTATTTATTTATTTATTTATTTATTTATTTATTTATGGCAAACAGGCCCTTTTAGTTTGTTGGTAATTTTTAATCATGCAAATTAAATATACACATATATATATTTTTTAATTGCAGAAATAGAAGAATATTCCATGGAAACATTATGCAAGGTAAGAAGGGTCTTTGGGTAACATCTGTAATATCTTTTCCATCCTGGACTTTTTGCTGTTATAAGACAGAAATGTGGGTACACATTTAAATCCTAGGGAAATGTCATTTCACAGAATTTAGGTGTAAATTCTTACTGAAAGTTGAGATGGCATTTCAGAATGATAGCCAGCGTTTGCTGTATGGAAGAGGAAACTGAGTCCCAGGGAGAGAAAGTCATTGTCTGAGGTCATCAGCCAGTAGAGCCACGTTTGAACCCTACAACAGCTCCCCCATCTCTCCTCTTAGCCACGCCACCAGATTGTCTTTCCATCCTGGGAATTTTAAAAATCACTATATTTTGGTAAAAGATGTTGGTGGCCAGACCTAAGGATTATTATATGGATTGGTGACTGTAATGGGATTCCTATTCTAAGATGGCCATAAGCACCTTGGGGGAAGAGGACCCTCATCTCTGAGCTTGCAGGGGGAGAAAGGGGCAGACTTTCTTAGAACCAAAGCAAAGGCTGGAGGGGTCAAGGGGAAGAAACAGGAAACTGGCAATAATGCTGATTACACTCAAATTACAAAAAGCCACTGTCTCAGAGTCACCACTCCTATGGTGCTGCCCCCATTCAGCCCCTCCCGCAGCCTTTGCATCTCATAAGGGAGCATGGGTAAAAGCTTAATTTCCAGTTAGGGTTGTTTTTCCTTCCTCAATTTCTAATTCTTTGCCTCCCCCACTCTCACTTTGGAGAGGATGCTGGAAAGGGAAGGGAGATAACTCAAAAGCCAGTGTAATGATGAACGTTGTGTTAGTTCCCTCGGGCTGACATAACAAAGTACTACAGACTGAGTGGCTAAAGCAACAGCAGTTTATTCTCCTGCCATTTTGGAGGCTAGAAGTCTGAGATCAGGGTGTCAGCATGGTTTATTTGAGGCTTCTAGATGAGGCTTGAAGATGGCCATCTTCTCCCTGTGTCTTTACGTGGTTTTTCCTCTGTGTGCATCTATGTCCAGATCTCCTCTTCTTTTTTAAAATATATTTTTAATTGATTTTTTTTGAGAGAGAGAGAGAAAAGGAAGTGGAGGGGGGGAGACACACACACACACACACACACACACACACACACACACACACACACATTGATGAGACATCTATTGGCTGCCTCTTACACACACCCTGAGCCTGCAGCCCAGGCATGTGCCCTGATGAGGAAATGATCTGGTGACCTCTCAGTGAATAGGATGATGTTTAACCAACTGAGCCACACTGACAGGGCTAAATCTCCTCTGCTTAGAAGGACACCAGGCATTGGATTAGGGTGCACCCTAATGATCTCATTTTAACTTCCATCACCTTTTTAATGATCCCATCTTCAAAAACAGTCACATTTGGAGATACCGAGGGTTAGAGCTTCAAGCTATGAATTTTAGGGAGATCCAATTCAGTCCTAAACAAAGGCTGTAATTAGAATTACAAAGAGTAATTCTAATCTGGAAGAGGCTGAGGTAGGTGGATATAATTTCTGATTTTTTGGTGTGTTTTCTTTCTTAGGACATGGTAACCTTCCTAGATAAATTGGTAAGTAATAATTTTGAACTGATCTCTCTGGAGAATTCTGTTTGGGTCTGGGCAATTAAAACAAGATGTAAGCCTTTCAAGGTGTTAGCTTTTGGAGCCCTCGAGCGGAGTGGCAGGTCCTAGGAAAGGCACACTTTGGAACAGTGGCAGATGGGTGGTTAACCAGGAGAAGTTAACAAGGCAGAGATGAGTATTTATTTATTTATTTATTTATTTATTTATTTATTTATTCATTCATTCATTCATGAAAAGCATCTATCAGGGAATAGGATACTTCTGTTTGCTTGAGTCAAGAAGTTTGGAAATTATCCTATAGGCTAATGTTTCACAGCTTTTTAAAACTTACATTTCTTTTGAAATGACTAAAATCAAATGCCTTCATTTAACATTATTTGGAACATCAAACTCAAAACAAATCAACAAGGGTGACCTACGAATATGTTTTTGCAGAGCACATGTACTATTCCTGAGATAATCACTCAGTGACAGCCTCCTCCCCTCCTCAGTTAGGCCACGGTGGAAAATGAAAACAGGGGAGGAGCAGCGAGGAGAGCCTGAAAGCAGTGGGATTTATCACTTGGTAAGGGCTGTGAGAGTCAAGGGAAGAATCTGATATAGCTAATGAGTTCCAGGACAACACGCAGGCAGGGTTCCAGGTACTGATAAGTGAGGCAGAAATGTCATGGTCCCTGACCTCTGCAGATTCTCAGGCCTAGGAATTGGCACTGGAACTTTTGAGTACGCTGGGGACATCTAAGAGGACATGACCCAGTGTGGCCGCCCCAGGCCTGATGCTATAATGACCTTAGGTGGTGTGATCAATGGAAAAATCCCCAGGAAGTGAGTGAGAGAACTGCATCTGAGGGTTGGGCCTAGGGGAGAGCACAGGCCTTGGGCTCTCAGGACCTCACCCCAGAAACCTGCCCACATTTGCCTCCCTTTTTTATCCTTTGCTAGGGTATCCTGCAGGCGGTGTTCATTGGCCACGACTGGGGTGGCATGCTGGTGTGGAGCATGGCTCTCTTCTACCCTGAGAGAGTGAGGTAATTGGGCTGGGAGCAATAAGAATTTGGGTAAGACTGGAACTAAATTCCCATTAGAATCCATCCTTGAGTCTCAAACCCCAGAAAACGTCTTGAAAACAAATAGGTTATCTGGGAAGGTACCACCTTAGCTCCTTTATGCCCTTTGACACATTAATAAGGAGGGCTTAATGAGCTAATGTCTTAGAGAATGAGGCCTGTTACTGGTAGTGGGACAGGTAATTCAGAGACAGTATTCAGTGGGCATTCAGGAGAAGGATGGTAGACCGTGAGGGGAACGTGGGGAGGGGGGCACCCACGACACAGCAGGGGTGTTGGGTTTATAGAATTAAGCATCAGGAGAGACTTTAGTCCTGGACAGGGAGTCAGAAAATGTGGCTTCCAATTTTGCCCTGAATTGGCTGTGTGACAGACAAATCACTTCATTAGGCCTGTGCCCTCAGCCACAAAGTGGCACCTGACTACACAGCCTGCAGCGTGCTGCACAGATGTCCGGCTAGAAAGGCATTTCACGGTTGCCATCACATCTTTCACGATTGTTCTTAGGACGGCGTTCCAAAGCTGCAGCGGGAGCTTTCAGGAGGGGGGTTTCGAATCCAGAGAGGGGGTGGTTTTTGCAGCCACACTCCTTTGGAGCTGGCAACCAAAATTAAAACTTGTCTGATTTCCCGTTTCAGCCTGGGATCTTAGCAAGTTAAATAAGCATTATCCTTACCCGCCATCTGGACTTCTCTAACGAATCCAGTTCCTTTTTATTTGACTAAGTTTATGAGAACGGGAACACAGGAGAACCAGGTTCAGCTCAACCTCAGCTCAAATGGTAGAGTGGGATCAAAGACTAAGAAAATGCAAACCTTTTCTAAAATATGTATAATTTTTTCACACTCTTGCTTTTCTGATCTCTTTGGTTTCTCTCCCTGTCCTCCCTCATTCAAAGGCAAAATAAGAGCTCAGTTCTTAACAATTGGATTCACCAAAAAGTTTCTCTATCTACCGGGTGAGAAACCAAGTTCAGATCCCCACCAGGTCTTCCATGGCACCCAGATCCAGAAATGTTTTACCCCTCTGAGCGACCACGGGATTCTGTGCTGTTCTCACGCTTATATCACAGTCTGTCTCATAGTAAAGTCATGGGTGTATTTGTCTAGCTTTCCTTATTAAGTTATAATAAGCTCCTTGAGTACTGATTTTGTATTTTTTTTTTCTCCCCTAGTATATAACATGGAATTACACTCAATACAGGAGAGACACAGTGAGTGAAGGAAGGAAGGGAAAAATGCTAAAAACTAGGGAGAAATTGTAGTGTTCAATATTCTGATCAAGGTTGATACACTACATGTAAGTTGTGTGTGTGCTCTGTCTGCAAGTGAGAAATATTGCAGTTTAATGGGGATGGGGTAGGATGGAGAGGGGATACACTGGGATTGGAGTCAAGTAATCTTGAGTGCGGCCGAAACCAGTTTGGCTCAGTGGTAGAGCGTTGGTCTGTGGACTGAAAGGTTGCAGGTTCGATTCCGGTCAGGGGCTTGTACGTTGGTTGTGGGGTACATCCCCGGTAGGGGGTGTGCAAGAGGCAGCTGGTCAATGTTTCTCTCTCATCGAAGTTACTAGCTCTCTATCTCTCTCCCTTCCTCTCTGTAAAAAAATCAATAAAATATATTTTTTTAAAAATCTGAGTGTGGATCCCATTCTCTCACACACTGATGTGTAAGTGCTTGTGCACATCACTTTCCCACTTTGAGCTTTGGTTTGATGTGTAAGGTCCTTTCTGGTCCTTATAGACTGTCATCTTACAGGGTCTAAGTCTTGGTGCCTCTTCTTCCCATAGGGCAGTGGCAAGTTTGAATACTCCCTTCATGCCAGCAAACCCCAATGTGCACTTGATGGAGATAATCAAAGCCAATCCTGTTTTTAATTACCAGCTCTATTTCCAAGAACCGGTAAGTTTGGGGCCTTGAGATCAGTGACCCCAGCCAGGTATTGTTCTTCTTTCCCCTTTCTTTCCCCTCCCCATTGGCTTGATGTAGCTCTGTCCTCTTTAATTTTCTGTGGCTTTAGTCATAAATTATTGTACAAGTGGGCTCAGGTGAAACTGACTCCAGAGCTCAGCTGGTCCTTTCCAGGTGATGGCGCGCGCGCGCGCGCGTGTGTGTGTGTGTGTGTGTGTGTGTGTGTGTGTGTGTGTGTTTGTATTTGGGGTGGTGAGGGGAACAGGAATGGGGGTGACAGCACGCCAGGTTCTCCTGCTTCTCCACAACTGTGGAGTGGGAGCTGAGCACTAGTTTGGAGCTGTTTCCTCTTAGTCCTCTGCCTGATATTGGGGTGGAACCCACCTCTTGTTGGTGACAGCCCCTGGCCTCTTGCTTCCCTCCTTCCTTCCTTGAGGGGGAGGGACCTGGTATATCGGCTTCTTGAGGAGTAAGGTTTGTGATCACAGGAGCAGCAGAGCCTAAAAGCCCTGCACTGGCCCTTTGTGTGCTTTGGGAGATGTGGAGGGGTTCTTAGGTGTCACCCCATGTGCACCAACACCCAGGATGCCCCTTGGAGCTTGGGTGATATGTGTGATGGGGTGTCACAGCCACATTTCATGGGGATTCACTGAGAGCAGCCACGTGAGCCAGCATCATCTGCCTCCCTAACCCCATAGCTGACCTCAGCTGTGGGGGCACCTGCTCATCATTCATTTGTGGACTCTGGACCCCAATGTCCAACTATATCCGGGTAATTCCAGAAAGGATAAAAGAAGTTTTCCTTAATACTGTAAAGAGAGAAGATGGATTCAATTCATTAATCAAGGACTCAAGAGTATTTCCTCACATCTCTCACCCAGCTCTTGACCTTCCGATGCTTGAAGGTCGTACCATTTATAGCAAAGGTCACAACCAACCCAGTTTTAGTGTGTGTGTGTGTGTGTGTGTGTGTGTGTGTGTGTGTTTTATAATATACTAGAGGCCCTGTGCATGGATTTGCACACTGGGGGGGTGGGGGTGGGGGTGGGCAGAGACCCTCAGCCTGGCCAGTGCTCTCTCATAATCCAGGACCCCTCGGGGGATGTAGCAGTGTGCCAAGCAGCAGGTGGCCAGGGAGGAGCCCAAGCCAGGTCCAGGCCCTGTGTTCATCCCAGCCCACTGTGCCTGGTGCCACCGCTTGGTAGCACTGCTGCCGAGCTGGGAGAGGCTCTCACCACCTCTGCCGCAGCTGCTCTCACCAGCCGTGAGTCCGGCTTCTGGCTGAGCAGTGCACCCCAGTGAGAGCACACTGACCATCAGAGGGCAGCTCCTGCATTGAGCGTCTGCCCCTGGTGGTCAGTGCGTGTCATAGCAACTGGTTGACGAAATGTTCAGTCTTAACCGTCACTTGTACTTTTATATATATAGATTTTTACTTATTTCTGAGAGGACAGGAGAGAGAGAGAGAGAGAGAAATATCAATGATGAGAGAGAATCATTGACCGGCTGCCTCCTGCACACCCCACACTGGGGATCAAGCCTGCAACCTGAGCATGTGCCCTGATCCAGATTCAAACCATGACCTCCTGGTTCATAGGTTGATGCTCAACCACTGAACCATGCCGGCTGGGCGACAACCACCCCAATTTTGATTCAGTGAGTAACTTTTCTCTGAGAGATGGTGCCTCGAAAGAGAAAGTTTTTATTTGAGCACTAACCTAGCCCATTCAGTAAGATGCCAGATGTGTCCAGCAATATCATGAAGAGACACTCAAAGTATCACATCCTCCACTGAAGCCAGAGCCCTCCCGAGCCACAGCCCGGAGTGTGGGAAGAGTCAACTTCCTCACGTTTGAATGGAGTCAAAATGACCTGAATTAGTTTGAAGTCATCCTGCTCTTGAAGAAAGGGTATGATTAGATGGCACAGTAGTCAGTTAGGGCTTCCATAGCAACGTACCATGGACTGGGTGGCTTAAACAACAGAATTTTTTAAAAATATATATATATTTTATTGATTTTTCACAGAGAGGAAGAGAGAGGGATAACGAGTTAGAAACATCAATGAGAGAGAGTCATCGATCAGCTGCCTCTTGCACACCCACCCACCGGGAATGCGCCTGCAACCAAGGTACATGCCCTTGACCGGAATCGAACCCGGGACCCTTCAGTCCGCAGGCCGATGCTCTATCCACTGAGCCAAACCAGTTTAGGCTTAAACAACGGAATTTAATATCACTGTTTTCTGGAGGCCAGAAGTCCAAGATCAAGGTGTCTACTGGGCTGGTAGACACCATTTTTAATCTCTGGCTCTCCTTGGCTCCCACCACGAGAGTCCAACCCCCTCCCACTGCCCTCTGTGTGCCCAGAGCTCCCCACCCAGAGCACCCCACCCCACAGGCCTCTTCATCGCCTCGAATGCCCCATGCACCTTTGTCACTTCTCACCCTGTACCTTCTCCCCTAGCCCCGCATAACATCAAATTTACCATTTTAATCATTTCAAGTGTACAGTTCAGTGGCATTCAGCGCATTCACATTGTTATGCAACCATCACCACCATCTCTCCAGAGCTTGCTTCATCTTGCAGAACTGAAACTGTCCCCATTAAACAAACATTAACTCCCCACTCACTCCTCTCCCTCCCCCCCACCCCCCGACCCTGGCAGCCCCATGTTGCTTTCTGCCTCTGAATCTCACTCCTCTAAGTGGAATCCTCCGGTGTTTGTCCTTTTGTGTCTGGCTTATTTCACTTAGCAGTATGTCCTCAGGGTTCATTCACACTGTAGCACGTGTCAGTGTCCTTTCTCTTTAAGGCAATGATAGCTACTGTACGTGACCTTGGTTTCTTCATTCATCCATCGATGAACAGTGGGGTTGCAGCTATTGCTTTTTTGAGTGTTGGATGCCGTTAGTTGTGTTCACAACAGGCCTGTGGCATCTCTCCCTGCTTTTCCGCTGAGCAAGCAGAGACTGAGGAGCTTACTAACTGGTTGATAATAGGCGCATGATGGGTTCAGGATGTTGACCTGGTCTTACTTGATTTAGAGCCCATGTTGGGAAGGAGCTTGGACTTGATTGTGTCTTGTGCGTCCCAGAAGAGAGGGGAGGAGCAAGCGAGGATAAGCTCAAAGTCTTCGTTGGAACAGTGACCTCAGGGGAAAGACTCTAAATCATTGCAGTTCCAGCGGGACAGTGAGGTTTCAAAGGTTGATACAGTCATTGTGAGAAAATCAGTACCTCTATTGTTCTCTTACAGCAGCTGGGTGTAACATCTGCAGGAAGAGTTTGGGGGTGATTTTGTTCTTAAGAGCAAAGCCTCTTATCAGGGAAATGGTGGGTGTTGAAATCAGTGATCTGGCCACCTCCAGGAGCTCAGGAATCCTGCTGGCACGCTCTGGGTAAGCACAGAGCAGAGTCTTAAGGAGAAACTGTGCATCTGGTTCTCCCAATATGCCTGCTACCTACTCAGAGATGGAACAAGTCCCTTCCCATCTCTGGCCCTCGGCATCCTCTCGGAAAAAGGATAGTCTCACTGGATGGTTTTCAAATAGGTTATAATTGCAAACGTAAGCTGAATCCAGGCCAATAACTTAAATATGACAGGTACAACTCTGCTTCAGGGATGGCTGTTGGTAGACAGCTTTCCTTCCTATCTCTCCTCCCAAATGGATTCCCAACGCTCTCCAGCCTGGAGGAATCATCCCTGAGGGCTCAAGGTCATTCCAGACTCTTTCAGCCTAAGGAAGGCTCCTCTGTGCTGGTGCACCCAGCTGCCCTTTCCACCTCGTGCTCTGGTTTGCTGAGCACTGTGGGGTGTGGCTTAGCCACATTCCAGGTTTAGATCCAGCCCCACCGTCAGCTCTTTGAACCCTTAGCCCATGTGTTTACTATCTTGCCCTGAGAATGTGCCAGGTCTGGTGGAAACCAATACTAAAAGGTGTGTTTTTCTTTGCTTGGCGAAGAAGGGATAATAGGCTTTGCATTTGTACTAATAAAAGGAGGACGAGGAGGCAGCAAAAGACAAAAAAAAAAAAAAAAAAAAGAGTTTTAAAAAAAGTACTGAGTTGTGTGAAATAAGTCAAATCCCCCTTCCCTCATCTAGAACTAGCTACTGTGAATGGTTTGGTATTTCCCTTTTTTTTAAAAAAAAAAAATGCTTTTAAATGTGTGTATGTGTGTGCACGCACATGAATGTATACATAATTTTTAGTATAAATTGAATCATTTTGCTTTTTTATTCAATAGATCTTAGACAGATTTTCGTATCAGTACATATAGATTTACCTCATTCCTTTTCAGATGGACTGTGATTCATTTCACCCGTCCTCAACTTTATCATGGTTTTGTTTTTGTGCCATTCATGAAAGACACTCTTGGCATTTCATTTTTGTTTTCTTCAGTGGGTGGTGTTATGTTACAGTGAAAAGAACCAAACACTGAGGGGCTTGAGTCTGGGGTTCCAGCCTGGCCATTTATAATCCACCTTCGAACAAGGTCACACCTCAGCCCGAGGGTCTTCATCCTCAGATGGCCTTCCATCTCAGTGCCGTGTGACCAGCGAGTGTGGCGTCAGAGTGACGCGGGATGCCACGGCCACTCTGAGGCCTGACTCCTCTCTCTCGTCTGCCTGGCCCAGCTGTGGGGAATAATAAACAGTTTTCTCCTTTTGCCCAGGCATCAGATGCCTCTATCCCCTGGCATCCTCAACTCAGAGACACCCCTGTTTTCTGGCGTGCTTTGAGAGAACTTGGCCCAGAGTTTCACAGAAATTCCAGTTATTATCAAGTAGACGGAACATGAATCAGGGCTGCTGTCCCCGGCCCACTGATGAGAGGGAGGCTCCCATCTCCCCTGTGAGACAGCGCCTGTGGTTTTGGCTGCTTAGGCCCAGAAGCTGCCCGCACTCACGCTTTGTGGGAGCTCCCTGGATTTTCTATGGACCCTCTTGGCATCTGTTCGCTCTTGAAGGACCATTTGAGAGCCAAAGCCCCACCCAGACCTCTGGCCTGCGACTATGCCTCCACACGCTGAGATACACCCCTGGGCTCCTGAACAGCCGTGGTTTCTGGGATGGGGCTGCTCTCAATAAATAAGCGTGATGACCTGTGGCGACAGGGCTGACTGGGGCTTTCATCCATCACTTTAAATGTACTTCCTCCCGTGGCTGTTTCTTGCCTCGGCATCCATCACATAGCAGATTGATTCTCCATCATAATTGAATCTTACAGATGTAAGGGATTGTAATTAACTCGGCAACATCACTTTCCTCATAAAACCACAAACTGCAGACCCAGCACCGCCTCATGACAAATGTCCTTTGCTGCGGTGCTGGCATCCGGTGGATCCAGAGCTCTCATGATCTGCAATATGCAGAACAAACAACGCAGTGGAGAATGGACTCCTGCAGTGTGCGGAGACGGAGGGCACTGGCCACTGCAGTGCCTTATTGCCTGGCCTATGGGATCCTCATCTCTGGGAACAGTCCTCGGAGAGGGACGTACATACCGTCAGCCTCTACCCAGGGCCAGTCACAGATGATCCCAGGAACAAGATGAGTGGATGCTTCCCTGCTCTCAGGGAGCTCCAAGGAGACATATCAAAGGCTCAGTGGGAGCCAAGAAGGGCAGTTATTTTATTATGAGGAGGGAGACAGGACTTCATGGAGAAGGCAGTGTTTGGGACAGATGTTGAAGGCCAAACTGAGGGTTGTAGGTGTTCTTGGTGGGAGCTACAATATTTTAAATCAGAAAGGTGGGAAAGCAGGGCACCCATTTAGAAAATATTCTGCAATCCAGTTTAGTTGTCACCTGGGTGAGCAGTTGAAAAGGAGGAGATAAAAATAGATTGGCACTTTGCTATTATAGACGGAATGTTTGTGTCCACTCCCGCCCTCTCCCCACCACAAATTCATATCTTGAAATCTAGTCCTGATGTGATGTTAATAGGAGATGATTGGGTCTCAAGCGTGGAACCCTCACAAATGGAATCAGTGCCCTTGTAAAAAGAAACCCCAGATAGTCCCCTGCCCCCTCCCACTATGTGAGGACACAGTGAGAAGAAGCCATCTGTGAACCAGGAAGTGGGTTCTCACCAGACACTGAATCTGCTGGGGCTTTCGTCTTGGACGTCCCAGCCTCCAGACTAAATAAGTATCTGTGTTTGTAAACTACACAATTTGTGGTTCTGTTATAGCAGCTGGAATAGACTAAGACACACTGCCATGCTTTGCCTCAGTTCCTTCCCCTAACACTGGTCCCTCAGGGGCTGTGTGGAGGAAGGATCTCTGTTATTTCTGAGTGGTGCCCCTGGTGGATCCGTGCCTCAGAGACAGCTGACTTCCTTTACACTTTGTTTTAGGGAGTGGCTGAGGCTGAACTGGAAGAGGACCTGTATCGGACTTTCAAACTCTTTTTCAGAGCAAATGATGAGGTGAGGGGTACAGGGTGGAAGGGTAGAAGAAAGCTAGGTAGCAAGGAGGGGGAGCTGCAGAGGTGCACAGGTCTCTGGATGGGCCTCCCTCAGAGGATGGGGTGGGGACTGGAGCCTGGGAATGAGCAAGCTGGCCGCCTTCCCTTTGGTTTCTGTAGTCAGGGTGAGTGGGATCCTCTACTGGTCACACTAATGGGGGAAGGTCACGTCCTCACTGCCACACACCAGTAAAGCTTTGAAACTAAAATCAAAGAATGGTTATAATAGTGACTGTGGAGAAATTATACTGACATGCATAATTGTTTATCAAAGCCCCAAATTAATTGCTGTTTCGACCCTTTTCATGAACAACCACAGTTATAATGGTTTATCTCCATTCCCTCCACCCACCCTCATTTAGCGCCTGCTTAGCCTTTCCAAGTCTGCCACTTTCTGTGCTGACCACTTCTAGCACCTCACTTTTTTATATTGAGTTCAATCGCTTCTTTCTGAAGGACCTTCTTTTGTAGTTAGCTCTTTCCAGTCTGTTAGCGTAAACTCATAATTTTTTTTTTTTTTGGCCAGAAAAATGTCTTTATTTTGCTTTCAATCTTGAAGAATAGTTGAAATATGAAATTCTAGGTTGACATTTTTTTTTCTTTTAGAGGCAAAATCTGCCTCAGGTCTACCCTATTATTGTTTTTTTTAGTGGTGTTTAATCTGCAGGTTAACCCATCTTTGAAGTTTTGTGTGTGTTTTTTGTTTCAATGAACATTTTCTGAAGTTTATGAGTTTTATTTGGTTCCTTTTCAAATCACCCCGATCTATTGTTCTGTTCTTGTTTTTCAGTTTCTTTTACATTTTTAATAATTTTAAGCGTATTCATTTTCATTCTTCCCATCTCTCACACAAGTTCTATCATTTGATATTCACTATTTGCTATGTTTGCTGTCTCTTGTGATTGGATTTGGAGGAGGGGGTGGGAGAGAGAGTTTTGAAATTTTGGTTTGTGAGCTCACTTTCAAGTAGCGCCAAATCTGCGTCTATTGGCTTCAGCTGAGATTGAGGAAATGGCCTCTTGTGCTTTAGCACTTGCTGCTCTGTAAGGCATCCTGGTGGTGTTACCAGCCCTGCCTCACTTTGTTTTGGTTGTTGTTGACTTTGCTTCTTGGGGATTTCCAGATCATGGAGACAGTGTAAATTCAAACCCAAGCACTGGTGAAGGCAGGCTCATAACCATGAATTTCTGGGTGAACATTTTTTGGTTCCCTCTCAGTTCCAAACTGAATGGACCAACTTCTCTGTCATGATGGGTGGCACCACAGATTTACTGTGGAGGGTCTTATTTTTAACTTCCCATCAGCCATAGACCTAAGGTCTCATCTCTTATTCCCATTGGTTGGCATAATCAAGTTCTTATATCACCAAGACCTGCAAGGACTTAGGATGAGGGGGTGGGGGTGGGCCGGAAGGAAGGGGTCGGGGGGTCAGCCTGGGCCCAGAGCTTTGATTGTTAGCTATTTCTGCTGTGACCCCTGAGAACTTGCCTACCTCTCGGGAGGTTAGCATGTTTGTACTAGTCTGATGGCACTAGTAGGTGACCTGTTCCAGCATGTTTTCTTTACCCATGACATAATCTCCACCTTTTCTTCCTACAGGTAGAGTTCACGACGTTCAACGTCTGTGAAAATGGTAAGAGGTGTTCTTAAGAGGGAAGGGAGACAGGAGGGCCATGGCAGGAGCCAGCTGAGCGTTAAATGAGCATTTCTCCATCTGCCTCTCTGAACAGAAACAGCCACCTGCCCGCTCTGAACTGTGACTTGCTTAACACAGGGTTCCCTGCGAGTGACTGACACTCCCCTTAGCTCTAGGCTGGCCATGGGGCCTCAGGTTCCTTTCCTTCAGGGACCTTTGGGTTCCAGATGTTAAACAGTAAGAGCTCGGAGGACTCTTAGAGCTTGTCAGGTCAATCCCAGCCTCTGCTGACAAGGACCGATGCCCAAGGTAGGAGCCGACATCTGCAGGACCACCTGGTGCAGGCAGAGGGAGAGTCCGGCTAGACTCCGAGCCAGGTGTCCTCGGTCACAGTCCACTGTCCTCTCCTCCATCCCAGCCCCATGTCCTCTCATTCAGTCCCGTCACATTTCCACCCTTGTCCTCCCTCCTGGGTTGGAAACAAGTGAGGAGTCAGAGCGGAGAACAGACTGGAGTTCATCCTTGGCTCTGAGATCCAGCACCTTTCCCACAGACCCTAACTTAGCCCCACACTCTGGCCTTGCCATTATTCACTTGTACTTTTATTGATAATGAGGACACTGCTACTTGTTTGTGCACCTACTGTGTGCATCGAATGCTGGCCTCGCCCTCTTTAGATACATTATTTATAATCCTCATGAGACTCTAAAAAATCCCAGTATTATCTGTATTCCACACGTGAGGACAATGGGGCTCAGAGAGTTAAGGAACTTGTCCGAGTGGCCTGGTTGGGCTCCAACTCCTCCGGCCCTAATGGCCATACTCCTCTCACTGGTCAAGACCACGCCTCCCTTTCCTCTCGCCTCCTCCCTCCGTTCCTTTTCTCGGTCACTCAGTCACTCTGCATCCCTTTGTTCTGCAGACGGTTTGAACTCACACTTGGTGAGGCAGGGACAGACATCCAAACACATGCAGCAGAGTCGTGGAGTCCAAGGGGAGGCGGGCGGACGGCAGGACGCAGGAAGGGGGGCAGAGGGGGTTCTCACCCCGGCCCTGAGACAGCAGGGAGTTAGGAGCTCCGGCCTCCGGGGAGGCTCAGTGCTTCATCAGAGAGGCATGTGCTCACATAGCCCTGTGGTGTAGCTCACAGAAGGCTGCACTCCAGCTCCCATATCTCCAAAGCTTCCAGCCTGAGACCGGGGAGCCCCACGGGACCGACCCCATGAAATGGCAGTGGTCTGGGCTGTCCATCAGCATCATGGGGTTGCCCCCCTGCAGGACGGGGGACTGCCAGGACACAGTGTACACCCCTGAAAACAAATAGGATTCCACACTGAGAACACTGAGGGAGGATCCGTGAGTGTGTCCATACACCCCTGAAAACAAATAGGATTCCATACCGGGGACACTGAGAGAGGGTCCGTGAGTGTGCCCATACACCCTTGAAAACAAATAGGATTCCTCACCAGGGACCCTGAGGGAGGGTCCATGAGTGTGCCCCGGGCAGCAGCACGCCTGTGCCCTGGCTGGATGTTTTCCAGGCTCCGAGGACGATCGGAGCAGGCACTTGTAAACATTCCAAGGATCTCATGAAGACATCTGAAGAGGGATGGACTTCATTAAAGGATGAGGGGAAAGGCTTCGTCTCGGGGAGAGGGAGGGCTGGAGGGCTGGCAGGGCCAAAGACAGGTGTCACCCTGGGACGGAGGTGTACGTTATGGAAGGACAGGAGGCGGCGGTCAGTCCTCGTGTGTGTCCTAGAAGTGGAGGCCTGGGTGTGACACTGTTGGGTTCTAGAATGACAGAGGCAACACAGACTTCTCTGACAGAGAGGAAAGGGGCTTCCTGCGGGTAAGAGCGAATGAAGGAAAGAGCACCAGGGAGGCAAGCGGGAGGCAGGGGTCAGCCTCTGTTGCAAAGGCCGGCGCTCGTTGCTGGGACCCCTGGCCGAGGGCGTGGGGTCGGAAACAAGCGGCTGTTTGCAGGAGGACTCTTTGTGAAATCCCCGAAAGAGCCCAGCCTCAGCAGGCTGGTGACCGAGGAGGACATCCGGTTCTACGTGCAGCAGTTCAAGAAGTCGGGTTTCAGGTAGGCGGAGAGGTGTCCGGGACACAGGAGGGGGCTGGTCTGCACGCGGCTGCTGTGCTCTGAGTGCAGGACAGGCCCGATCACCCCCACCCTATCCCTGCAGCCCCTGCTTACCTGCCTCCGGGGTGGGAGGCCTACCATCAGCTCTCATTGGGGATGGCTCACCTCCCTCTACCTTATGGGCCCCCTCAGAGCGGATGCTTTTAACCTTTTTTTAGTCACTACCCCTGTGCGAATCAAATGACAATTCTGAGTTCTTCAGAAAAACATTGAAAACTCAAAACTCAAAAACTGCTTCCATTTTTAGGGGGATTGGAGACCTCTCTTTCTTTTTAAACAGCTTTGTTGAGCTCTCGCCCATAGAATTCACCCTCTGCAAGCGTCCAGGGTTGTGGTTTCAGCCCATTCACGGAGCCGTGCAGTCATCACTTTGTTCCATGTCAGGACAATTTCATCGCCCCAAAAAGAAACGCCATTTCCTTGAGCAGTCAGCCCTCCCCCACTTCCCTTGCACCCCCTAGTCCTAGGCAGTCACCGTCTGCCCCCCATCTCCACGGATTTGCCCACTCCGGACATTTCACATACATGCAGTACGTGTGTGCCTTTGTGCCCGGCTTCTCCCGCCCAGCTGGTGCTCTCACCTAGAGGTGCCCAGCCTCAGGCCTTTGGCTCAGACCTGTGCTCACGCTGATGCTCTGGGCCTCTGCTCTGGAACCACAAAGAATTGCTCCAACAGCCCCTTTCCCGCATAGCCCTTCGAATATTTACATGTTGCAAGTCTTGGAAACTCATGGTTTCTTCAAGGCTGTTGCAGTTCACATTTGCATCCTTCATCTCTGCCTCCTGCCTCTCTGCTTACACTTCCATCCTTGACTCCAACCCAAGGACACAGAAAGCCAAGCCCTGGGCACTGCCTTGGTCAGCCCCGCCCGGAAGTCCTCTATACTATAGCCGGTGGCCCCCAGGCTTTAGCCCCAGCATCCCTTGCACCACTACAACCTTCCTTAAGCTTTTTTTCTTCTTCTTCTTCTTCTTCTTCTTCTTCTTCTTCTTCTTCTTCTTCTTCTTCTTCTTCTTCTTCTTCTTCTTCTTCTTCTTTTTCTTCTTCTTCTTCTTCTTCTTCTTCTTCTTCTTCTTCTTCTTCTTCTTTTGCGGTGAAGACAATTTAAGAGCCTCAGGTTTGAGGACAGATTTGCTCTGGGAGGGAGCATAGAGATAATGTGGTCTCACGCCCTCCTTGTTCAGGAGGGAAAATTGAAAGTCCCAAAAGGGCATGTGGCTTGTCCAAGGTATCCCCAGGGCCTAGAGCTGCGAGACCCAAGAACACCAACCTGACTCGGCCCGAGGACTGGGAGAGGGTTCTAGGCCCAGCCCAGAGCCACCCTGGCTGTCCCTGTGTGCCACCCTCTAAAGTCCCTTTTCCAGGGGTTTCCCGGGGCAGGGACGTGGCCTCTGGATGGTGAGGGCACTAAACAAACCCCCACCCTCTTACGTGCCAGCCTGGGATGACATGGAGAGTCCTGTGGGGCCGGCTTCCGTGGGACAGCCCCCTCCACAGACCCTGTCTGCGAACCCCATGTGTCCCCAGGCTGGCACTTCTGCATGATTGTGCTGGGCTCAGTCCTCCTCCCCTCAGAAGCTCGGCTCTCCCTGGGAGACTGGTGCCTGGTGGGTCCACAGCACAGTCATGGACTAAAAGCTTTCCTCTCTTTATTCCCTGATCTGCACCCCCCACACACAGGGGTCCCCTAAACTGGTACCGAAACATAGACAGGAACTGGAAGTGGGGCTGCAAAGCCACAGGAAGGAAGGTGAGTGCTGGGTTAGTGTGGCTCCCTCTTCCATGCGCGCACCCCCACCCCAGCTTCCCAGGGCCCTGGGTCCGAGCTGCGGGTGGGCAGACTGGCCTGCTGGCTTCTTCCTCTCTGTCCTCTTCCTCTGGGCTTTGGGAAGGGATCCTCAAGGGTTCCCCTTGGGGCTGCTTTTGCTGATGCTTCTCTTGGAACGGGTGATTCCTTCTTCAGGCCAAGCGTGCCAGAGCCAGAGCCTCGGCGCGCTGCTGGGCTCCTCGGTGGCGCGGGTGTTAGTTGTGGGGAAGCACACCTCCTGCCCCAGAGGAGGGAAGCCCTGAGTTGTGGAAGGTGCAAGGAGGGGACATTTCCCCCTTTTCTGGCTGTCACCACCACCTCCTGTCGTCTCTCCCCAGATCCTGATTCCGGCCCTGATGGTAACTGCAGAGGAGGACCGAGTGCTTACTCCCAAGATGTCCAAGCACATGGAGGACTGGGTAAGGGCAGGGGCTGCCTGGGGCCCTCAGCGCCATCCTGGGAGGGAGAAGGCAGGTATCCTCCAGGAAAGAGGCAGCTGAGGGCAGAGAGCGATAGTCTCGTGAACCACTTGCTGGTCCAGGGCTTCCTCAGTGGCATCCCTGTCACCTCCTGGGAGCAGCAACATGTGTGGTGCGTCCTTTTCCTTGCACCGATGCAGTCTCATTCATTCATTCACTCGCTCCTTCATTTATTCATTTCGTGGGCGTGTGCTGTGGCCTTACGTGTGTTGGGACCGTGTTAGATGCTGAGAAGGTTAAGATGAGTAAGATACGGACTCTGCCCTATAGGTGCTCCCTGTCCTGCAGTATTAATCCCATACTCAACCCAGGCCGAGAGCGAGAACCTGGGGACGAGACAGGGTGTTGAGGCGAGGAGCATGCTTGCCGGGAGAACGGCAGGAGCTCCATGAGGCCTGAGGACCTTGCTGAGCCCTCTGGGGCACACTGAGCTGGTGGGCCCGGGCCTGAGAGCCACCGGAGGGGAGTGATGGGATTGGAAGTTCCCTCTGTTAAAAGTGTGGAGGTTGGTAGTGACCGGGGAGGCCTGCAGTGGGGTGACTGCGGGCTGGCTAGCTGCTGAGCTGTGGCCTCATTGACAGCATCAGGCATAGCGGGGAGGGTGCGCGCAGATTGCTGCCAAGTGTGGGCTGTGGCTCCAGCTCAGGTGCTGCGGAAAGCTGTGAGCCCACGGGCCTCGCTCCCTAGTCCTGACCCTTGAAGGTTTCTGTAGAAATTCAAGATCCCCTGCTGGTCCGTTCCAGCTCCCTGTATCTGACTGCTAACCTTGCTGGGGTGTGTTATGCTTCTGAGAGGAAAAGAGCATTTCCCCCCCAGCCTTTCCCACACGCGGTCAGAGTTCCAAGCTGTGTCGGGAAGAAACCCACGTCCCAGCTGCTGCACTGCTGCTCCCTCTGGGTCCGGGGTGCTGGCTGCAGTGGCCCACTGTGGAGTTCAGGTTCCAGAGGGGAAGCCAGACGGCCCCCAGCGAGACAGCCAGAGAAGAGGACACCGTCACGTCTGCATGGCAAGAGCCAACAACAAGCAGGCACCTCCCAGGCAGTTAGGGGCTGAGAACTAGTGATTCTGAAGGGAGACAGTTGTGATGAGCACAAGTGAGCCCTGCATTTGAATATCAGCTCAGCACTCTGTGTGGCCTTGGGCACGTTCCCAACCTCTCTGAGGTTTCCCATTACCGCACAGGATTATGGGTACGCTCCAGTGAGACAATGTATGTAGAGCACCCAGGACATAGCAGTTGCTTGATACATGGTTATTCCTTTCCTAAAGAACACAGTTTTTCAGGGTGGAGCTGGCCTGTGGGGAGCAGAGGGGAAGGTGCCTCCTCACTGGGGCCCCCTTTCACGTCACACTAACCTGAAACCAGACCCACGGGCATTCTGCCATTTACTTTTCTGGCCCGTGTTTTCTTCCAGATCCCCCACCTGAAAAGGGGGCACATTAAGGACTGTGGACACTGGACCCAGATAGAGAAGTAAGGAGATGGGGTCCCGGGCGGGGCCATCGGGACTTCCTGTTCACCTCAGTAAAGGCCTTCCTGGGCCAGCCGTTCACCTGCGTGAGGTGAGCAGGTCCAGACGGGTATGAATCGTCTTTCATTCCCTTTCCAGGCCGGCCGAGTTAAACCAGATCCTCGTGCAGTGGCTGGAAACCAATGTCAGGGACCCACCAGTGGTCTCGAAGCTTTAGGGCGTGCCCTGTGCCAGCCCCTTCATCTGCTGGGCTGCTGCTCTTGGCACCACGATGGGTCTTACCCGCACCTCTCAGAACCAGCAGCCTGCTTCTGAAGGGTGATTTTCTTTAAAGGAAGTGAGTAACAATTGGATGTAATTATAGATACAGGCAAAGGCTATTAATTCTCTGGGCACAAATGCATCGCTTTCTCTCTAAGGCTGATTCGTGTTCTCTGAGGGGACAAAGGGGATGGCTAAGGGGGTGACTTCTCTTTGACTAGGCCATAGTTTTGCAGCAAAATCAGCAGGTAATTTTGGAGCATTTCCACAGAGATCGGAACTTTTGTTGAATAAAGCTAAGCAATTGTGATCTCGTTTGTTGGGAGGGGGAGTTGCTCTAAGAATGTCCCTCTGGCCTCCCCTGGAAGCCACGTCGCCTGCCCACCCTGCTCCAAGTCCCCCATCTCCCCGTCTCCCGCCCAGTCCTGCCACCGCAGCCTCCTGACTGGTGTCTGTACCAGGTCTGATCGGAACATTGCAGGGCCTCCCCGCTGCTCCCCAAAAAGCTCGTGCTCTGCCTGGCTGTTCTCCCCTTGACCAGACCCCGCCGATCACTCCCCGATTCCCAACGGCCCCCAGCATCACCAGACCGAATCCCTGCACCCACCACACTGATCCTCCTCGACCTCCCCCTGAGTGAATGGTCCTTTAGCCTGCAGTGTTCCCACTGCATCTCCCCGCCCAGACCCCAGCGGGGCATGAGCCCTTTCCCCCTGCCCCCAAGCATGGTGTGCTCCCAGATGGCAGCCGACCTCCCTGGCTGCACTTCCCGCAGGGAGAGCTGGGAGGGTGGGCTCTCTGAGCTGAATTATGAATCATGATGAGTATAAAGTAACCAGGCCAAAAGGATATGTGTGTCCGTGTGTGTATAGAAAGTAAGGGGAAGGTCAGAAGTGGTCTCAGCTGTCATTAAGTACCCTGTGTGCCTGGAGCCTTACATACATTGATGCCAGGGACCCGCCAGTGGGACCTCTATGCTTCCCATCTCCCAGAGCGGGAAATTAAGGTTCAGATAATTTGCCCGAGGTCCCTTGGCTAGTGAAAGGCAGAGCCTCGGTTCACACACATGCTGTCTGGTTCCGCAGGCTGAGCTCCTTTTGATACTTCGTGGTGTTGAGCATCTTTTCGTGTGCTTATTGGCCATTGTCTATCTTCTTTGGAGAAATGTCTATTCAAGTTCCTTGCCCATTTCTGAATCAGGTTGTTGGTTTTTTGGTTGTTGAGTTGTAGGACTTCTTTATATATTGTGGATATTAATCCCCCATAAGATATACGATTTGCAGATACTTTCTCCCACACTTTTAATCAATTCAAAGGGTCACAGGTTAGGAACTAGCCTCTGCTTTTCATGCAGTTCCTCACTGTGTTCCGTGACATTAGTGCCAAGACGGAAGGGCAGAATGTGTCCGCATTAGGGACCCCTTGGGACTCTTTGGCTTGTGTCAGAATTTGGAAGGCAGAAACAATTCTTGGCTTATGCAACTCAAAGTAGAAAATTCCAGAGAAAGCCCAACACAGTGCTCTTAGTTGGCATTTGAATCGATGAAGGGGTGGCATTGGGTCACTGCTTCTGTCATGTCTTCTGGATTCAGATGGAGAGAGCTGTGGGGGAGGAAGGAACGTTGTTCTACTCTCCAGGCTCTCTCTAGGCTGGTCCAATGGTCCAATAGACATGAGACAGGTTAGCAAGAGAAAATAACCAAATGTAACATATACACGCATACGGGAACTCTGCACACAGGAGACAGAGACCCCACATGCATGAGAGGTTCCAGGACAGACAGGGAACATGGGTGTATTAGACATCCCAAGCTAACGATGACCTTGGGGCTTCAGGGGAGGAAGGTCACTGAAGGACGATTAGAAGAGCAGATGATCAGTAATTAGTGGCTTGCTCTGCCATATAGATAGGTCATAAAACATCACCGCTGATCATCTCTGATTCTAGGCAAGCCCCTAATTCAAGTTCTTCTAGGCAGGTGAGAGGGTGGGGCAGAAGTTTCTTTTGAGCCCACAGAGCTCAAAATAATCCACATGTCACACAGGCACATCTTGGGGTAACTCCTCCTGAACCCCCACGGTGCCTTCCCATTTTGTGTCAAATGTTGAATGAACTTTATGTCCTGGGTCAGATTTCCTTTTATTTATTTAATCTGAGGGGGTGGGGGTATCAGTTTGTTGTTCTACTTAGTTGTGCATTCATTGGTTGCTTCTTGTATGTGCCCTGACCCTGTCTGGGAGATCAAACCCACCACCTTGGCTTATGGGGACGATGCTCTAACCCACTGAGCTACCCAGCTGCTCTCGTCATATTTTAAAGAGAATGAGCTGGCTGAGTGGGACAAGCAAGTAAGATCTGCAGGTCCGAAAGCATTAAATTCCTCTTGTTTCAAAGATAAGTTGAGTTACCACACACCAATTGTACTTGGAGTTCATTCTCACTGATTCGCAAGTACAGGCAGGGAAGAGATCAAAATGCAAGCTTCAGTGACCATCAAAATAGTAGCATTAATTTCCCTTGCCAACAACAGTGTGAAGAAAGTTAAGACTCAGCAATTATTGGACAGCTGAGCCCATCAGAGCAGAAGAAATGAGCAATAAACCATCGCCCTCAACCATGGGATGATGGCAATGGAGATTGAATGAACTGATACACATCGCTTTTGCTGATTTGTATATTTCCATGTAATTTTATTTTCTTCAATAAAGGCAATTTATAAAATTGATGTGACTGGCTCGGGGTAGGGAAGGAAGCGTCCCCTCCAAGGACAAATGTTCAGGGTCAACAAAGAGAACCTGGTATGGCTCCAGGCTCGGAATCTCAGCAGAGGAGGGAAGAGGGTCCCTTCCCAGACCCACCCACATCATGGCACAGTTTCTGTGATGTCCCAGGGCAGGCTGCATTCAACAGAAGGAGAAAACTTGGGTCTGACTGTGGTCCAAAGGGGCATTTGTGGATGCGAGCAGGACGTACTTTGCCTGAGGTGGTAGGGACTGGGCTTGTGGGTGGATGGAAAACAAGTTATTTGGGATGACACTAGGCTGGCCCTCAGCACTGCTTTCCCTTCCCTCCTGCCCCCTCAACCCTCTTCTCCCACCCCCCTGCCCTCGGGCTTGATGCTGTCCCACCTCCTGGCCACAGCCCAGGACCCCCTTCCAGGGCTTCAGGGAGGGGACAGTGGTCAGTCTGACAGGTGGTTTCTCCGCCCCAAGGCCTCCCCCACCACGCCCAGCCTTTCACAGGCAGAAAGTCAGGTTCTGTGGGGGGTCTCTGAGCCCTCTTCCATCTGGCAGGGATGGAGCCCTGCCTCCTGCCTTAGCCCAAGAGGAAGGAGGCCCAGCCTTGCTCTTCTCTCTCACAAAGGCCCTGGTGGAGACCCCCGCCCCAGGGGCTGACAGACATGGTGTATTAGTCAGCTGGGGCTGCCACGACAGAGTGCCACAGACTGGGGGGCTTCAACAACACGGGTGTATCTTCTCTCAGGCTGGAGGCTGGAGGTCCAGCATCAAGGTGCTCGCAGGGTCTGTTTCTCCTGAGGCCTCTCCTTGGCGTGTCGGCGGCTGTCTTCCTCCTGTGTCCTCACAGGTCTGTGTCCTAATCTCTTACTAGGACACAGTCACACTGGATCAGGACCCATCCCATTGCCCCCACTTGGACTTACTGCCTCTTCAAAGGCCCTATTGCCAAATACAATCACCTTCTGATGAAATTGGGTGGCACCCAATTCAGCTCATAACGCAACCCTTCCCCAAAGTTGGCTCTGCTCTCTGGTCTGGAGCTCCACAGATCCCTCACCTGTCTCTGGGACGCCCCTCTCTGGGACTGAGCTGCCTCTGAGCACTGCTGTCCACTAGCTGGGGTTCCCTGTGGGGAGCTCATAGTCACCACCACCCCATCTCCACTCCCGCTCCTGCCTCACCCCTGCTCCTGCCTCACTCATTGGAGGGTGCATTTCTGTGCTTACGTAAGCACATGTGGACTTGGCAGCTCAGTGGAAATCTTGGTTTGACTCTGACCCTCCCCCACCCCCATTCCAGGACTTCTCATGTGCATATATGACCCTAGATCCACTTTCAACTCCTCCAGCTTGGCTTCTCTTCCTCCAAAATTCCAGAGCTGCTGATCATGTTCCCACTGGACACCAGGTCTTGGCTTCAAGGATCTGATAAGCCAAGATGCCATTTTGGCTTTTTAATTTGTCACACAAATGTACATCGGGCAGGGACTCTGTGCCAGGCGCTGAGCTGAGGGACGGTGCTGCAGGCAATAGTGTCCCGCAGCTCCTGCCAGGCCAGCTCACAGCAGCAGGTGGAAGGGCTTGCTGCCACTTCAAGCTCTAAGTGTGTCCGCATGAAGCTCGTGCTCCTTCTCTAGCCTTTATATCAGTCCGGAGAATTAGGCAAAGGTACCCTCACCTCACTGAGGAGGAAACTCAGGTTTGTAGACCAAAAAAAAAGTTCTATGTGAAGGAAATAGGCCTCTGTGATCGATCTTCAGCCTAGTCCACTTTTAACAGAAACGTTACTGAGTTTCCCCAGGGCAAACCGAATTCAGGGAGGAGGGGAGAGGGTATAGGAACAAAGAACTGTGTACACAAGCCAGCATCACGGGGAAAACCCCAGGTGCTCAGGACAAGACACCTGGCACCTGCCTCAACTAGACAGGGGAGGTGGAGACAACTAGAAAAGGCCTCAGCGCCCAACCCCCACTCCTTTTCTTAAATAGCGCAATAAGAGACCAGTGGGCCATTAAAAAAAGAAAGAAAGAAAAGACCTAGCGACATAGGAGGAAACTATTAACCCCATGGTACTCAGCCAATGAGGAAGCAGAGGAGGGACTCTCACTGCCTAGGGATACACAGCCTGTGACCACTGCTCCGTGTGTGCCTGTTCTACTGGACACTGGCTCCTGCGAGAACCCAGTGAGTCTCATTTTGTGCCATACTGCTGTCTCCC